GGTCAAATTAAAATAAGAATAAAAGTAAAATGTTGTTAATGAAAATAAAATGAAAGAAAAGAATTTTGGTTTTGTTTTGTTGCAGAAAAACAGTGGTGTTGCGCATTTACTTCCATATAAAAGTCAGATTTGTTCATGCATTGTGTGGAAGAAAATTTGCAACACCCTCCATAAAAAAAATCTAAAAAAATCAACGGTAATTTTTAGCTATATTTCTCTTACAGAGTTGCATGCAATAATGCTTGCTAATGACCTACTCGCAATAGCCGCGTTAAACCATTACCATGTTGAGTAGAACTTTACAGGTTGAAAAGAATAATTAAATTGTCGAAAATACGGGAAAAATCTTGTCCCGGCGGAACATTTCAAATTTAATGCAAAATACGGGAAATTTGGCAACGCTAATCTGGCAAAAGAAGAAGCCATCAATTGAAGGTCCATACAAAAAATAAAGGAGTAAGGAATGTAGGGCGGAAGGCCTCTTGACTCTCCGGAAGGCCTTTCGGAAGGGCTTTTAACTTCTGAAATTATGTACTGGGTTATAAAATGATGTATATTTTATAAAGTCAAGCACGACGAACATTTTGGCAAGCACGTTCACAACTCGCATTCGTCTTTTTGATTTTTTTTTCTGTAGTCCCGCAAATCCCGCTGATCCCGCATGGGTAATCCCTCATTTGTGATCCCGCAAAAATGGCGCTGGATCCCGCGTTTGCGGGATTGGATTCCATAGTTATAAAGTCTCAAATAACACGAAATTATATCGGTATGCTGGCCGCAGGTCAATTAGTGAATGTTTGTCTAGATAAAATCTAAATGAAACTTAAACTAACTAAATATGTAATTCCATGATTTAAAAAATATACTTTCTAAAGCCAACGTTAATTTTTCATAGCAAATTGTTGCGCCCCCTAGAATTCTTGTTTTAAATGTTGGTGTTTCTTATTTAGGAAATTCATCACAATTATCAAAGGTACATATATGTATAAAATTGTTCAAAAACACGTGCATAAATTAAGAAAGTAGACCCATAAAAATGTGTCATTCGAATCTGGCCACATTTCTTTCGAGTTCAATCGGATTCCGTGACAAGTTTTCGGTATTTGCAGCCAGCGTTCGCATTCGTACATTTTAATTGATGAGCTCGAGGCGAATTAATACAAGGTGGTATCGGTTGAGCAAAAACAAAAATTACAACAACAAATTATACGCACAATGACGGCAAAAAGTACCCCAAAATACAGCAAACACCTCATTTTGACATTCAGAACGACCTTACGAATTCTAGTCACCCAACCTTCGCCTTGGATGAGCTCAATAATCGACGTGATGAAATGAAAAAGCAATAGGAATTGCGAAAGCGTATGAAAACAAGTAAAAAAGTTTAAGTTCGGGTGGAGCCGAACATTAGATACCCGTCGCAATTACTAAATATAGTTTTTTTCACCTTTCCGAAACTACCGTTACATGGTAAACAGGGGTGGTTTTATCTCTGTGTCAAACATCTTCGATAAACTTGCATAGTTATATGTGGGCGGTATCACGCCCATTTTTCAAAATTCCATAATAATATTACTTATTTTTAAGGGAATGTAGTTAGTGTCAATTTTGTGTAAATTAGCGTCCTAAAATTTCGAAATATTGAAGTTTCAAGCATTTCTGAAATTTACCGTTATGTGAAAGCGGCCGTAATTTTAGTTCGTGGCTACGCCCATTTTCCAATAAATTATAGACGGACGGACGGACAGACAGTCACCGCTTCATGGACTTCTTCTTTCATTCTGATCGTTTAGGCATAGATTTGTCTATATCTATCTCGCTCCGTTTTGCCTGCTACAAACAACCGTTATGTGAACAAAGTGCGCTCGGGTATAAAAATTTATCTTTGCAAAAATACGTTTAGAGTAAACAAATTACTTGACTGCCCGCAAAAAATTGGCGGCCGGTGTGCTTTATCGACTTTTTATCGATTTCATGTTTTTTGGCATGTAAGCAACAAATTTGCCAGGCAGTCAAAGCACCGGTTATCTTTAACAGGCAGTCCAGAAAACGGCCCTAAGTTTGTTAAAGTCGGAAGAAGGTACATAACCTATGGCATTACAAAACAAGTTTGTCACGCCAAATTAACCGTCGTTTATTTTAAATGGGACATATGGTCAATAAAATACATACATATATTTTATAAATTCAAATAAATCAAGTTATTGATGGAACTAGTACACAGTCGAAACAAAACGAAAATAACCATGTCATGGTCATAGCTGTAATGAATTAAATCTCGCAGCGTAGAGTAGAAACTTGCAAGTTAGACGAACAGCTGACAGATTTTTTTTTATTCAAAAGTGTAAAATTGAAAAAGTAAGAAAACAAATCCCCAGGCCTTTTACTGACTAAACGAATTATTACTGAATTTTCACGAGTTTAATTAGTCGCATTTTATTATTTTTAACTTCCGAACCATCAAATTCTATTTAGTGATTTGCGGAAATTCCAACCAGCTGGTTTTGATCAGCCATTTTCTTATTGGCAAACATTTTCCAGCCCAGCAGAAACCAGCAGCTTCCCCTCAAAATGAAATGTCGTTTTGCTCTCTCAATTTCCCCTTCTTTGCCAGTTTATTGCGTACGCGAACACAAAAACCTGATAGTTTTTGATAACTTTCAGCAATTAGGTGTATTCACGTATTCTTACAGCAGAAAACTCTCAACAGCAAAATTCAAACGAAATTTTAAAGCAATTTGCTAAGCAAAAGTAAGTAAATGAGTATGCGCTTTCTACCGAAACATTTGCAGACCTAATAAGTTATTTTAAATTTAAAAACCATCAAAATACATTTAATTTTTTTCATAGGTTGCAGTGAGATGACTTTGATCAGCTGTTTTTCTTGCTGGCAAATTGCTACGAGCAAAATTTTTTCCAGCAGAAACTAGCAGCTTCTCAACGAAATGAAATGCCAGTTTGGTCTTTAAATTTGCCCTATAGTTATCAATAACTATCAATACGCGAATGCAACTAATCGCTGAAGCTGAATTGCTCAAAATTGACATACGGAGTAATCTTTTAGCACAAAACCAAATAAAAAAAAAACTGGGAAAAATGGGCGCGGCTCTGCGTATATTTATAGCCCTGTTCGCGTACGCACTATCCAGTAAATTCAGTACTAATTTTACTGGTTTTTTACTGGATGTCGTTTTCGTACGCAAAAACTTGCAAGAAACTAACAAAAGAGAGGAAATTGAGAGAGCAAAAATGACAGCTGAACTTGCAAGTTTTACTGGATAAATTTTTACTAGCAACTATTTGCTAGTAAGAAAAACAGCTGATGGCATGATGCTTAATGTAATTCACATTAACAAAATAATAGTTTGTGGTGCTCTTAGAGTTGCAACTGGCAAAATAAACCTATTTAAATATATAATAAGATGGAAAATACTAGTTTTCTTAGAAAATTACATCGGAAAATAACAAATTAATCAGCTGTTCATAAAACTAGCAACTTCTTGCTGGTTTTGCGTTTTCGTACTTTCCTGCTTATTTCACTGATTGAGAGTAAATATTGGCTTACTCTCCGAAATTTAGTTACTGGCAAGTAACTAGATATTTTTTGCTGGAGAATACGAAAACACAACTTTTGATAAAGCGTATATCTTAGTAAGATTATGGAGAGAGGTGTGCACATATTAAGCGTATATCAGTAACTGATTTAGCAATCTCTACGACATTTCATACACATACATATGTATTTCCGAGGTCTCACAAACCAAAAAAAAGACAATTTTATATTTTTAAAGTGAGGAGAAGATTCATTTTCCTTCAACATTAATGGCTAACTAAGATACGCACAGCCACGATGAAAGGCTAATTTTTAATTAATTTGCGTGCATTCGATTATTTCATCTTCTTAGGTTCGCACTAATGCGCAACAGCTACGAATTCGCCAAAAAGGACACTTAAATGAAGATATTGGAGGCGAAATACAACAAGTCCTTCAAATCTGTTGCTATTAAACTGATAGTTTATTTGGAGTATAGATAACTGGTTACTCAAACAAAGCGTGTACACAAATTTTCTTAAAATTGTTAATGATTTAACAACAAAATATGTAAGAAATTATCTTGCGCGCGCAGCGAAAGTTGATCGTCCCACCGTCGCGTTTAGATGTGTGAAAGAAAACAACATGGCAACAGAGCACATGAAAAGTTACTAATATTTTTTTCATCAACTAAAATTCTCTACTTTATAAAGTTTATACAACTAGTTTATTTTATTTTATTTTATTAGGTATGGGCTATACTGTATGAGGCTTTCAATAGTTATGAATAGGGCTAGGAATCTCATGCACTCAAAAATGGAAATTATGCGCTATAAACAAGTAAAATATCCAATTAAAAATATTTTTAACCGACTTCCAAAAAAGGAGGAGGTTATCAGTTCGTCGGAATATTTTTTTTTTTTTTTTTTTTATGTATGTTATCGCATAACTTTGGAACACGTCAACCGATTTCGATAATTCTGGTTGAGATCCGATCAGCGGATCTTGTTATATATATATATATATATATATATATATATATATATATATATATATATATATATATATTTTTATATGGGAGTTGAAGTCGGTTTTTTTTTTGCTAAAAATTACTTGTCCTAATAAATATCTTATTGCCGGTATAAATATATGTATTTTAACAAAAATGACGATTGGGTTCATATCAAATTACAATACATATTTACGTATGTAGTATGTAAGTATAAAATTAGTTTATAATCAAGCCAGTTACAATCTTGTTTAAATAGAAACATTGACACTGGTTCAAATCAATATTTGGTAAAAAATTCTAAGCAATTTTTTTTATAAACATGCATGAGATTCCTAGCCCTAGTTAGAAGTATACTGATTTATTATAAAAATGCAGTTCCCAGGTTTACAGTGTCGATATTTGTATTCTAAAGATAGGCAATAAATTTAATAATACTTAATTAAACTTTTTTTTTAGGCGCTAAAGACGAGGATGGCAGTAGCATCAAGAGTGGATCCATCAATGAAGCTCATAGTTTGAGTAAAAAGCAACGTAAAGCACGCACCGCTTTCACGGATCACCAATTGCAAACCCTTGAAAAATCGTTTGAAAGGCAAAAATATTTAAGTGTGCAAGAGCGACAGGAACTCGCACACAAGCTTGATCTAAGTGACTGCCAAGTTAAAACTTGGTATCAAAATCGTCGGTAAGTTTAACAAGGCAAATACATTCACTTTATTATAATAAAATTGATTGGGCTACAAATCTGCATACTCAAAAAAATTCTAAAAAATCTGATTAAAAAGTTGAAAATTTTTTATGAAAATTTGCTGAATTTTCGGGAGTTTTGCACAAAGTTTGAGAATTATTTTTTTTATGTTTTTTGTTGTAGAATGAACCATATTTTTAGCGGAAAAATATTAGAATGAAAATTGTTGCATATATTGTGAAAAATTTGCTGTGCCAATACTTTGTACGGACAGTGTACATGTTTTCTATTTCTACGCATAAAATGGTTTGTATAAATTTTTAAATTTCCAAAATTCTACTTTGTGAAGTTCACAGGCTTATACAAAGAAAAACAAAAAGTTTTACAAACAAATTTATGCGCATAGAAAGTTTGCTACTTGATATCTATGAGCGCCTGGTATTGGGAAATAAAAAAGTCGTTTTCTTTAAAAATATACAGTTGGCTTTAAAAAGTATGGACTGTATATATAAAGCTGTTACGCACTTTTTGTCATAGGTAGCAAATTTTAGCAGTAGTACAAAGGCAGAAGCAAAAAGACTATTTTCTACTGGCAAGATTTTCTTCTAGTGTCAGTATGTATTTTCTCAGTATAGTACTGAATGATAATAAGCGCTTTCATTCAACGAAAATTTACATTCAAATTCTATACTGAATGGAACTCTACCATTCAATATATATGATAGTATTTGGCCGAGCTTCTCCTCCGATTTGTGGCGTGCGCCTTGATGTCGTCCCACAAAGCGGAGAGAATTACAGTTTTACGCCGACTCCGAACGGCGATTGTATTTTTATGAGAAGCTGTTTTTCTTGGCGAGGGGCGACCGCAGTTAAGAACTAACCTTTTTTCTAAATTTGTTTGCGATGTTGCTTTGACCAGGGCTTGAACCCAGTCTTTGCGGAGTTGAAGCACGCACTGCTTACCACAACACCACAGCGGCCGCAATACAGTTTTTTTTTACCTCCCTTTTATTAGCTCGGGATGTAACTATGTAATATTGATGCGCCTAAAAGATGCAGCGATTTCTATTCTCAAGTAACATACTTGGCAGTACGAATGCAAATTATAATAGCGAGGTTTTAGTTTTTTAAACTATTTTTATTTTGAAATAATTTAAGCCACTCAGGAATGAGTTTTGTTTTTATACGAACAAACAATCAAAATTTTGAAAAGAATGTCGAGTGAATGCAGAGTCTATTGATTCAATCATTGGACAGCTCTGATATGTACATATTGGCACCAGAAAAATTTCGTTTGGAGCTAAAACGGCCGAAAAAAGAGCCAAACAATACTAATACTAGCTAAAATGAAGAGCTAGAATTTTTTTTTTAAGTTGAGCTTTTATTGACGTAAGGTTTTTACATTTTCCGCAAATTTAATAAAAACAACGAATTTTTTAAATTTAAGTGCCGAAAACAACTTCTAAACCCAAAATAGGGAGCATATGTATATTTGGAATTCGTTATAACACTTACATACATGTATGCACATACCTATATGAACTAGACAATGAACTAAAAATACTTTACAAATGGTTAAAATCTGCAATTTCAGATATTTGATTTTGACCATAAAAACTCGGGTAAGGAATAATTTTTTCGCAATATTTGTCTGAAAAGTTTTACTTCCTTCTTCCTTAAATGTAAAATTGGTAAGGTGAAAACAAAATCCGCACGTTCAGAAAAACGATTTTCTTCTAATTAATTTTTGAATTTTTATGGTGCAGTCTGTATTTTCCCCTGGATGCAAATGTATATTTTTCCACTGAATTTCGAAATTTTTAACTTTATCAATGCTTCAGTTTTGGCTTCCATTTTCTACCGTGGACGCCTGAGAGAGAATAAACCGTCTGCTCTTATTGGAGCTCGAATTACTGTCCGGTATAGTTTGTGTGCTCCCGCGCACGTTGCATAAACTAACTGACTTACTTTCCCATTTTGCATTTGCTTGCGCGCCATTTGCATTAGGAATGGAAGTTTTCTAAGTAAATATTGTTATTATTACTTTTTTTGGCGTTGAGGTGGGGTAAGAAATGCTTTCGCACCATATAGGTACCGTCGTCCCTACGTGTGTGGTGTATCCACTGAAAACTCCCTCCTTCTCTCCTGGATTCTTCACCTGCCCCGGGACTACTATTGCATTACTTCAGGGCAGGAGATCCAAGACGGTGTCCTGAAAAGGACTCACATTCTGTTACTCTCCCTGCGTCCAGTGCCATTGGGTCGCTGGTGTGCAATTGTTGCAGGTTTATATCTTAGCAGTATTATGTTACGTCGTGATGATGATGTTCAGGAGCTCTTTGCAGTTCTCGCCGTTCCTTTCTAATCACGTCTTCGACAAAGTTTGCTACCGCATTCTAATAATCTTCATCTGTCATCATTTTCTCTTTAATATTTCCAGTTGTGTATGCTCCGATTACCCGTTCTAGCGCATATCTTTTATTATGCCATCGTTCGCATTTAAAGAACGTGTGCTCTGCGTTGTCGAATTCTGTGTCACCATATATACATCTAGGTTGGTCTACTTTTCCCATACGATGCAAATATTTTTCAAAGTATCCATGGCCGGATAGAAACTGCGTGAGGTAGTAATTAACTTCACCGTGCTTTCTTTGAGTCCATTCTGTGAGGTCGGGTATTAGTTCCGCTGTCCATCTTCCGCTTGGTTCGGTGTTCCATTTTGCTTGCCACATCTCTATGGTTTTTTGCCTCGCTTCTTAGGAACTTAGTCTCGGCAGCCTCATCTTTTTTGCTTCCCATTGTTGTCTGCGTTCCTCAGCTAATAGATCTATGGGGATGGTTCCGCTTATAACAAGGACTGCTGCTCCAGACACCTTTCGGTATGAGGAGGCTACTCTGAGTGCGCAGGTGCGCTGCACAGAATTTAGCACTTTTCGGCGACCTTTCGACTTTACTGTGTCTGCCCAGAGTTCGCTTCCGTATAAAAGGTTCGAGTTCATTTTCATAAATAAGTTCATAAGTTCATAAATTTAATAAAAAAAAATATTTTGTTTAATTTCTTTGTTTTTATAGCACAAGCATTTCTTCCTAAATGTTTTTTTTTCAATGCAATTAGATTTTCAAATTTGTTATTTATTTATAAATTGAATAAATTATTTTTACTTACATTTATTTAACTTTAAAAATCTTAACCACCTCCAAGCGGCCTCGAACCTGCGATTTCAGAACCAGAACCAGTAGTCTTCACGTGACGACACAGCCGACATTTGTAAGAAAAGCACTTAATTGCGTTTTATTTTTGGGCTTTGGCAATTCAATGACAGATGTCGCTCATCGCCTAAGTTCTTCGAAATTGTCGAACTGGTAGGCAACTAGTTAATGAACTAGTATTTTTTCTAACTGGTTTGGCTTTTCACTGCAGGATACTTTCAGCATCTATACATAAGCAGCATTTCGTTTTTGCATGGTTCTAACAAAACGAAAAAAATACCCAAAAATAAATTTGAAATGTTATAAAAAATGTTCACCAAAATAAATATTTTTTTTCGGTTTTTAGTAAAAATTTGTTGAAAAATGAAGGCTCCGGTGAATTATGAACATTAAATTCCAATTTTGAACTAGTGCGTGCTGGCTTCGTCGTGTAATATGAATTACGGAAAACGCATTTTTCTAGCAAAGAATGCGAAGTCCTTGGAAAGGATTTGGCTTAATTTTTCGCTACAGCAGGGGAACTTGTACAATTAAATAATATAATTAACTGGTTAATTGTTAATAAATTAATTTTTAATTTATTTAATTTTTCGCTACAGCAGGGGAACTTGTACAATTAAATAATATAATTAACTGGTTAATTGTTAATAAATTAATTTTTAATTTATTTAATTTTTCGCTACAGGAGAGGAACTTGTACAATTAAATAATATAACTAATTAATTAATTATATTAATAATTATAATTAATTATTAAATATTATAATTAACTGGTGATTTAAATTACGATATTTGTAAGGTACTTTTATCATACAAGTTGTATGTACGTATTCCCAGATCATTAAAAAAATGTCCTTTATTTTACTTTGGTTAATATGGTCACCGTAGATGTACGTCGCAGTATTCACCACAGTATTTTCAACTTTTTATTGAAATTGCTTAGTTTGATGAATATTTTAATGTACGGGTATAAAGCTAAAGCTTTTCTATTAAAAAACCGGTAAAGAAAAAAGTTGCCATTATTTCATTTGTATGAATAGTAGCGTCCATTGAATTTTGGCATCTGATATTTCACAGCCTGCTGCCTCACTCTTTCATCACAAAATAATGGAACGAAAATATATTTCTGTTGAAAACATTGGGTTACCTTGTGCTCTTTGTTCACAAAATACGTTAGAAAACCGTAGTAGAAAGCGTAGCAAATTTCTAGAACTCTTTACTGCTTAAGAAAATTCGGCTTAATACATTTTGCTTGGACATTTCTTGAGCGCACCATGCTTAAAACTTTAAAAAGGATTTCTACTGTTACGATTATCCCTTGATTCTTAGCTATTTCCCAATCTCCAGCGATGAAGATTCCGATATTTTCGTCGAACCAAAGAAATGTATACAAACAATAACATAAAAATGATTTGATTTTCTATCTTCGATTGCATTCCTGCTGGGATACAAAAATTTGTAAACCAAAGGTTTGTCTCTACGGGAACGTATTGTCATTATTGAACATAAAAATTGAATATTAAAAAATATGCAATTAAGTTTTGAAAATAAATGAAGGATTCGTATCTTTGTGTGATATAAACCGCATTATTTTTAGTAGTAACAGTAAAAAGTGATAACTACATCGATGCACTAAAACCACTGAAAATATCTAACTTTAAATTCCATCAAGTCACATCAGTATGTGTGTATGATGGAAAGTCGTTTTCCGTCTCTTCATCGCTCTTAAACGACCAGCGCATATCTTTATTATTCGAAGATATCAAGCAACACTTGACTGTACATTGTAATTTGTCAATCCTTGAAATAAACTGAATAAAAAACATTAACGGAACATATTTGCAATCATCCCTAAATACGAATGTGTTATTGCTTATCTAAGCGCTTAAAATTCCATTTACAAAATTAGTTTTAATTATTTCTTGATATTGGTGGACTTTCCGATAAAGTAGGATTATGATTTATTTCAGACAAATTTCCGTCATCCCTTGTCAAATTGGGTCATTTTCCGTTGTCAGTTTTAATTACACTGTACACCAGCATTTTCGCAACATAATATTCTGATTCTTATTTTATTTGCTCTCAAAAGTTAAGGGGTCATGCCGTGTCTTTCTACTGCGAAAGTTATATTTATTTTTAATATTCAGTCCTATGTATCCGGCATCAGAATCGGTCTAACGGGCCTGAGTTCATCCCGAGCCTCAAAAAATAGGGCGGATGTTATGTAACAGGCACGATTTTTAGGTTAGGAAAAATCCTGATGAGGAAAAAAGGGACTTTAGATTCGTGTTCAGAGTTGATTTGAGGTTGCTTCTTCTTTTGAAATGTTATTTTCTTATTAACTAGAAGTGATGTTTTACTTTCCTTCGAAGGTCGGAGACCTTTTATTTGCGCCATTATAAATGCGAAAGAACAATTCAAAAAAGTACTCTCAACTCCAAACTGGCATTGTAAAGGCCCACATAATCTTTAAAATGAAACAAAAATTATTTGTAATTTTATCTTATTTTTTGCATTAGGTAGCCATTTATCAACATGTATATATAAAAATATATATATGTATACGTATATTGTTCATTTGTGTATTTCTCCATTTCAGTACAAAATGGAAACGACAGACTGCGGTTGGTTTGGAACTGCTGGCTGAAGCAGGAAACTTTGCAGCTTTTCAGCGACTCTATGGGGGAACCCCTTATTTGGGCGCATGGTCTTATCCAGGTGCACAGGCGCCACATGGTGCCCCTACGCCGTCGAGTATTGACTTGTACTATCGCCAAGCAGCAGCCGCAGCCGCAATGCAAAAACCTCTTCCCTACAATTTGTACGCCGGAGTTCCTAACGTAGGATCACTTTCTGGACTGCCCGTTTCTGCTACAGCACCGTTTTCGCATCTCTCCGCTTCCAGTTCGTTATCTTCATTAAGCAGCTACTACCAGAGCGCATCGGCGGCAGCAGTGGCTGCGGTAGCTGGTACATCTGCATCTAGTTGTATTCCTGTCGACAAGCCAATCGCTTCACCACCATTGTCGGTCACGGCAACAGTACCATCACCTGTATCTCAAAATAATGCGACGATAGATCGGAGGTGCTCGTCAAATTCTCCCACGCAAAAATCACCTCTAAGACATATTGACTTGGCTCGCTCTCCCAGTCCCACTCTAAATCCAGGAAGCCCACCTGGTCGATCAGGAAACAGCTCACAGGTGCAGTCTGATGACGAGGATCAAATTCAAGTATCAGTTTGAAATTAAGATACATACCAAATAACAAAGTAGTGGAAATCTCAACACATTCATATATGTATGTATAGTGCTTATCATAACTGCATGGTGCATTTTCCTTCCTATAAAAAAATTAGCAAACATACTTCGTATGGAAGAAAATTATTGACATCGACAACAAAAAAAATTCCTAAAATCATCGTTGTAGCGCCTTCTAGCTTGCATTCAATTTAGAACTGAATGGGTTGCCAAAAAACTTTCTAAAAATTCGGAGTAAAAAAAGCTAAACTTTGAGTTTATCAGTTCGTCGGAATATTTTTTATGTTTTTTTTTTTTGATGTCTGTGACCGCATAATTTTGGACCATGTCAATCGACTTCCATACTGGTTTAGATCCAATCATGGGATCATGAAATACATATATTTATATATATATTTATATATGCGAATTGAAGTCGGTTTTGTTTTTTCCTTAAAAATTATCTACTTGTTTTTTACTTTTGTACGAAGTTTAAAACTCCGATTTATGTACGTATATATGTGTTTTTTTTTATAGAATTAAAAAAATAGTTAAAATTAACTAATAAAAATAAGTAGTCAAAACCTGCCAATATCTGAGTATCGTATAGTAATGATAAGCACTATTTATGTACATTAGGCTGGGTCGATTTTGTATGGGGAAAGATATAAGTTATTTAATCAGATTGCAATAGTGATATTATATTTTCATAAGTCTAAGCAAATAATAATTTACTATAAGGAATTAAAATAAGTCATATGTATCTTTAGCCTGCGCATTTGAGTCAAAGTTTTGGAAATTTTTGAAAAAACATTTTTGATTTGTGTGTTTTATTAATATATGTATGTAATATATGTAGATTAAATTCGTCAAAATTAAAAAAGTGGAAAATTCGGTAACTTAATTTTTAGTGTACCCGTAGTGAAAAAATCTTTCCTTTTGACCGCAAAATTTCCCTAGTAAAAGACTATTAGATGCTTGCCAAAACGGATGAATAGTAGCTTAATCAAATTATTATTGCTAAAAAGTCGAGGTTTTATTATGTCATTGCCCAGCATAAAGTATCCACAGCAAATCGAAAAATTTATCCAAATCTATTTAACGAAAATAGGAAGCAATTTTTATGCACCGCATAGGAAGAGAGGCCATTCGTTGGTTGAAACTTCGACAACGTCTTTTGCTGGGAACGCATTTTTTGACTTATTTCTGTTAGTTTGGTCTTTGTTGGTGGTCTTTCGCAACCGCTGATTTATAGCAATTTTGTTATATACGAGTGCAGTTAATATTTTTAACATAAACTTTGTAATGTACTTCCCGTCTTCATTTTCATCTTAAGTCTAATGTCAAACATCTGTTTGATATTTTAACTATTGATTGAATTGGCAAACTTCTTACAGCAGCGCTTCTTTACTTGGCGCTTCGTTACTTGAGGCTTGGGCACTTTCGTTGCTTAACAAACCAAAATAGGTATACATACGTAAAACTGCCAAGCAACGAGCTCGGTGTGAAGACCCCTATAAAAAGTCAAGGCTACGTTGTATATGTACATACATATGTACATACTGCAATGGTCAGATAAATGTTACCATTGTTAAAATTTATTGAATTCGCATCATTTTCGATACAAGTTTCCTCCAAGCCATATGGTTTGACTGTTAGTCCCAGTTTTCAATATGACTCTGAGCCATGACTTAAGGCGCAGATTAAATGGGTGTTACTTATATTTGGATAGGTGAAACCTAACGTTACTTAATGCTACGTCGAAGTCTGTTTCATTTTGATTTTCTAAATTCTAAGTTTATTTAAGTTGCCACAGTCACATATTAAGGCTGCGTTGATGTTTTGGGACTATGTAAATAATTATGCGGTTTCAATGCCGTATGTACATAAGTGTATTGAAAAAGTCTATTGTAAAAACAAAACTTGCTTTTAAAATAGCAGAATCCGCGGTTAACCAAATTGTTATAAAAACCATATTTGATTGGGTGGGGGGAGGGGGGTTTCCCAACTGAATGTGAAATAACACAAATTTACTTTATTTTCTTTCTCGTTGAGCAATAAGACCAACTTTTAAACTTAATAATTGAGTAATAAAGCAAAATAGTGCACAAATGTATGTACATAGGTAGTCACCCGGTTACATTTGACAAAAAGTAGTACATTAACAAGTTAAATGGAAGGTTTTGTAAGTATACAATTTTGAAAGTACCCAGCGTCGCGGTGGTCCGCGTTCGACGTCGCGCTCGCGGCCCCCGCCCCTTTTCTCCTTTCGCAATTATGCACTGCTGTCATTATAACAGAATAATAATAAAATGACACTAGTTCACTTCTGAAACTTCTTTTTAATCTCCAAGTAATGGGAATTATTGCGTATGGTGTTATTGCATGCACCCCACCCATGGTGGAATTATACCAGGTGAAGTAATATTAGAGTGAGAAGAAATATTTACACAGATACATATACAATGGAAAAGATTACAGGTTAATTTTATTTAAGAAAACACACATTAATAAAATATTTCAGCGAAGAAAGTCGTCTTTTGTTGTGCTTCCCAAGAATAGAAGTTTTTCCAAATGCTTGCCAGTCAACCGATTTCTTGACGTGGTTATTTTTGCACCTGTTTTCGAAAACAATCCTTCGCAAGGAACAGATGTTGCAACTATACCTATATACGGTGACCATATTTATGCGAGCCGAATACGGGACAAAAATAATTTTTCTAATTTTTTCCATAAAAGCTAACAGATCTTAACACTTTCTTAAATGATCTTAGATGTATGTATTAGCCCTGAAACAGCATCCTTATAGTGACATCACAAATTTGTATGAAATCTTTATGTCGAATTTTACCCCACAAAATTTTTTACAATAGTTTCGTTAAATTTTAGGATGATAAAGTTGAAGTGTAGCTAGGACTTACCGTTAATTTTTGGCAATTTTTTTGTCGACGGTGTTACGCATTTTTTTCATACAAAGTTAGTATGTTCGGCAATTCGTTGATAAGGATAGGGGGCACGAATTTCGATACGATACGATACCATATCGATATTTTTACCATTCGATACCGATACTTTTTACTGGATAGTTTTCAAACGATATTTTTTGGAATCGAGTACCAGAACCCTGGTATCGGATCGAATCATAAATGTACATTACAAAGTTAATTTTTGTAGTAATATTTGAAATATTTAAGGTTCATTTTTCAAGTTCCAAATTGTAAAAATCTGTTCTGTTTTTTAATGTCCGCCGAAGAATCTAACGTGACGTTACATGACGTTACGCTACTTAAAATTCCATTGAAACTTTTTTTGTTAATATTGTTTTTAAACTAATTTGTAGCGCAAATAAAACATGAATTTTTATGTGTAATATATTTTTTTATTTTGTTTTCGGCGCTACCTAGCGGTTTTATTTTTTACAAATCTATGTCGTACTATGACCTTCCGCTGGAAAAGCCAATATGTCTACACTTTGGAATTTATATGTATATGTATATGGATATATTTTGGCTTTAATGAGCACAAGTATGTACTAACTTCCCTGCAGGAAATTAAATTAGTTTGAAAGGAATTTATAAACTACTTTATTTTCAATGATAACTTATTGAAATTCTAACTATTTTACCTGCAACGAACTCATTTATTTAACATGGCGATATCCTAGGAAGCAGTCAATTGCCTTTTCCTGCATTTATTCAAAGGTCTAAAATTTTAGGAAAAAGCAATTGCTTATTTTTATTCATACGGCCCTTTGTGTCAGTGAAGTCGGCGATTAGTATTAACAAGAGTTGGCGAAAAGGCCCTTAAACTTTAGAAGCATATATGTACAAAATTGTTAAACTACGATCTGAGCAATTTAAATGAAACCTTTTTTAAATTAAATCAAAACTTTTTCAAGTTAAACGAGTATTTTTTTTTAAATAAATGAGACCTTTTTCAGATTAAGCGAAACCTTTTTCAAATTTAATGAAACCTTTTTCAAATTCAATGAAACTTTATTCAAATTAAGGGCCTGTTGTTCAATGTCTGGTTATCACCACTTGCCCGTTAAGCATCATAATCGACGTTTTCGACATCATGCATATAACATGTGGTCGGTAAAGCAGTCGTTGTATCTAACCGGAGCTTCTACCTCCGATTTGTGCTAATCAGAGATTGAACACCCGGCCCTAAATGAAACTTCCTTTTTTGGTTTACTCTGAATTCGCTGGTACACGTTGCTGTTTTTTACGGTCTAGGCATATTGAATAATTTATAGCAATAAAACAGCTGCTTTGATTTTTTTCTATTTATATATTTGTTTATATATTTTCTTCATCTTCATAGCGGTTAAGAAGCCAGTTTTGGCATTTTAAAGACAAAGACGAAATTCACGCAGCTTGTTGCTCTTCCTCTGCTGTTTAAAGGCCCAAATTACACAAGAGTAAAAATTACACGAGCAACAAAATTAAATTCAAATTCCACGAGAGTAAAAGGAATTTGTAATATATTCATAAAAAAGTTATTTTTCATTCCACTGTGAATTCCGTTTTCACCATCTCTGGTTAACACTAATCCCCAGTGAAACATCGCTGCCGACGTTACTGACTCCATGCATATAACATTGTTGACACTAATCTCCGGTTTAACACCGTTATCGACGTCATCGACACCGTGTTATATACATCGAGTCAAATAAGTCGATAACGATGTTAACCGATGATTAGTATCAGCCAGACTTTGAGCGACCGTCATGGCCATTTTCTCAATGTCTGGTTCACATTATAGCCCAGTTATGCGTACTTTGCACTGCTATACGATTTTTACGTAAAAATCAAAAACCATAAAGGCTCTGTTATGCATACTTGGCATTGCATGCACTGCTATACCATTTTTACGTAGAAATCAAAATCCAACAGACTTTTACGTATGTAATGCTGTGCGTTGGGTAACCGCTTACACGCGAAGCTCATTTAACAGATTCCTTATGTGACAACTCTCAAGCAATGCCAAGTATGCATAACAGAGCCTTAAGACTTCTACATGTGAAGTACCGCTTACAAGCACAACTCATTTAGCAGATTCGTTATGTGACAACTCTCATGCTACGCCAAGTATGTATAACTGAGCTATAATCTCCGTTTAAACATCGTTATCGACGCCTCACAGTGGTTCGGATCGCAAATCTAGCTGGACGAAACTATTTAAACAAATACTCGTTGATGGATCTTTACACCACTTCTTACCTAGGGTATTTTTGAGTCACTGATTACGAATCTGAAGTCACTTATCAAAAATTCAAAATGGCGGATCCAATATGGCGGACGAAAATAAAAAAAAAATCGGTAGATTTCTATGAAACTGGGTATCTGGGGGTTTTCTGGGTCGCTGATTACATAACTAAAGTCATTTACTCAATTTACTTTATTTACTTCGGAACGAGCATTTTCATCAGATATTTCTTTCAATTTACTACTCACATAATCACGGACACCCTGTTGTCTTTTAGAAGTTTCAGCAACACTTCTCCAAATGTCAAACAACTCACTTCTTTTCTGTTTTAACACACAACCCAATACATAGGTGGTCATATCGCATATGACTATGACTATGACACGGTAAGCAGAGGCGCCATAATAAAAAGCAATCAGTTGAAAGCTACATAGGTCTTAGTATGTTCTGTATCAATTCGATTTGCTGCAGGATACATATGTACGTACATACAAATCGTCTTATTTCTGCATTCAAGTATGTTGTAATTATTTTTTATTTTTTTTGAAGGACTGATCCATATATTAGTCCAGAATAACAATTCAAGTAATGTGCATTTGAAAGAAAATTGCATTTTTTCTTCAAATCTTTAAAAAGGCCTTTTCGAATACGAGATCACAGCAGAAATGAGACGATAAAAGGGTAACCATGCGCAGCAAAGCGCCTTAAAAAATCCTTAAGAAAGGAAAAGCATCGAAAACCTAAAAATTAAACAAAAAAATTCTCAAATAAGCTAGTAAATCATTGTATTCCAAAAGGATTTGCGACCTATTCCATCTCAAATCATGCAGGCCGACTGCAGCTATCTATCCGAATCACTTGAAATTTTAGTATATACCTACATACATAAATCTGCTCGGAAAATAAGCGCATACGAATATCTTTAGTTGTCGATATCACCAAAATTGCATGTTTTATGCACTTTTGAAAACGGACTCATCAAATTTCCATTTTCAAAAATTGAAATTTTTTTGAAGTTTGAAGTAGCGATTCAAAAAAGTGGGTTCTCCATAATATGTACAATTTCTACTGTGCTAACGCTACCTCACAAGTACAGCGAAATGGTAATTCCCAGGAACAAAAGTGTTATAACAATTTTTATAGAAAATTACTTACCTCATCTATACTTTTGTGACTCCCATTTTTATAATACACCTTACAGTTTGGCTAAAAACGGCAAAAGAAACAGTTTATGTGACTTTTGAGCTCGAATGATTTATTTTTGCGGATGTGGAATCGATGGGACCTTTCATGGGAATGGGAATTTCATTTATAATGGCATGCCCACATTCGTACCGAATTTCAGCTCAATACAAATTATTGTAAAGTTACCCCTGTTTATTGAGCTAACTTGACTAGGCTAAAAATATATCTAAATTTTTTTATTTCTCTTAAAACTCATAAAACATGCAATTTTGATGATATCGACAATTAAAAAAAAAACGTATGCGCTTATTTGCCGAATAGAATTATATACTAAAATTGCAAGTGCCAACGGCTGGCATGATTTGAGATGGAACTGGCCTTGGGGAAAGAAAACGTTCGACTCCCTCTACTGTAGATACATTCATACTTACATATATATATGATTAACGTGTATGTATGTATTTAGTTAGCTTATGCATAGTATAGTATTGATGTACGTAAAGAAGTTTGTGCAAATAAAGAATAGATACATATGTACATATCTGTGGTGTCACATATCTTTGTACACATACATTATTTACATATATGTAGATAACGAATCCAATTCAAAGTTTTGGAAAAGTGCCACTTGCATATTTAGTGAAAAATAATATATTTTTTCTTT